TAGCTTCCAGTGTCAATTAAAGGTGTATTAAAAGACATGGTAGATGAAAGCGTGAATCTATGAAGATATGTACATGTACATATATGTAGTAGACAAGTTTTAGAATTGCATTGCTGTATCTAAGAAATAAGGATTGTAATTATTTTCCCCCTCCCTTTTCCTCAATTATGCATTTTTCCTCGCACCCTAACTTTGGTATTTTTCTACAATATGCTTCCTGGGCTAGTCAGCAAATATATATTTGCATTTTTCTTTCATGAGAATAGAAAAGACTTAAGGTACGAAGATTAGCGGAAAATAATTGTCTTATTGATTCGGAAAAAAGTTATACAATGATATTGGAGTTTAAAGTCACGTGGTGTAAGTCTATGAGAGGTATTCGAACAGTACGAGGAATCAATTGTAGCCCGTCTTCCGAAGAAGACACGTCAAAATTTATTTTAATATAATTATAATTATATGCAAGAAAATTGATTATCATATATATATATATATATATATATATATATATATATATATATATATATATATATATATATATATATAGTTTAGATCATATATATATCTGTCGTATATTAGATTGATTGATTGTATACTGTTTAACGTCCCTCTCCATATAATATATCGTATATTAGAGGGCAAAAGGTTTCCAGAGGTTTTTCATCTTTGAAAAAGTCAAGTTTTTTAATCTCTGGTTTTCATCCGGGCCAGTCAAGTTTTTTTGAATCAATAATGTATTGAATTAGGCGTTTTTGTATTAAATGAGAAGTTATATGATGTGTGTAACAGATATTTTGTGTTAAATGTATGTACTATAGTTTAATAAACTGCCGGCTCCCCGATATGCTTCCTGGGCTATACGGCAAATATATATTTGCATTTTTCTTTTATGAGAATAGAAAAGACTTAATATTTTCCGCGGTACGAAGAAAATAATTGTCTTATTGATTCGGAAAAAAGTTATCCAATGAAATTGGAGTTTAAAGTCACGTGGTGTAAGTCTATGAGAGGTATTCGAACAGTACGAGGAATCAATTGTAGCCCGTCTTCCGAAGAAGACACGTCAAAATTTATTATAATATGATTATAATTATATGCAAGAAAATTGATTATCATATATATATTTATATAGTTTAGATCATATATATATATCTGTCGTATATTAGAGGGCAAAAGGTTTCCAGAGGTTTTTCTTCTTTGAAAAAGTCAAGTTTTTTTTATCTCTGGTTTTCATCCGGGCCAATCAAGTTTTTTTGAATCCATAATGTATTGAATTAGGGATTTTTGTATCAAATGAGAAGTTATATGATGTGTGTTACAGATATTTTGTGTTAAATGTATGTACTATAGTTTAATAAACTGCCGGCTCCCCGATATGCTTCATGGGCTAGTCGGCAAATATATATTTGCATTTTTCTTTTGTGAGAATAGAAAAGACAACGATAATATATGGCAATGTTATTATTTCGCACATAGTTGCTTATCGAAAACAATTGTCCAATTCAATGACAGAACGACAAAACATGCTGGTTTACTACACGTTTTCATTTTATATAGACAGTGGTTTAGATCAATTTACCTTTTATCCTTTTCTACATTTCACACTTTTACAAATGTAATTTTCGGCAAAGGCTTATTATACTTACATGTACATGTAATAATACGCATGGATTCTCAGTGTTTACGGTTTTGGGTTAAGAAATGCACAAAAAACTTATACTCACTGATACTCGGAAATACGTGTAGACCAACGGGTAGTGAATTACCCACCAAACACTTTACAAAACTTTAAACTATGTACATTAATCAATCAATTATTTGTTTCTGTGATCTCAGAAATCGTACATAGATCCGTGTCTTATCAGTGGCTTAAATCCATAAAAATAAATTTATCAGAAACCACGTTAATCAATCCTTTTCCAAGTATGAAATTTCCATAGTATTTTTCTGGTACTCACTCCTAACGCATCTCATTTAGCTGATTGGTCAGTTAGAAAGTATCGTAAGTGCCTCGATTAGCATATGAATTTATTCTGACGTCAGATAATCCACTTTCCTCGATCTGTTCATAATGGGAAAGTAGTAGTATAAGGGGCCTAGATAGGCGAGGATTTGATTGGCTGAGAGAAATCACGTGATCAAAAAGGCTGGATTCTGATTGGCTGAACCCTAACCCTAACCCTAACCCTAACCCTAATGGTATCCCTACACCACTTAACCCTAACCCTAGCCCTAACCCTAACCCTTGCAGATGAACCTTAACCCTAATGCCAACCCTAACCCTAATGCCAACCCTTCACCACTTAAGGCTAACCCTAGCCCTAGCCCTAACCCTAATGGTATCCCTACACCACTAAACCCTAACCCTAGCCCTTACCCTAACCCCTGCGGACGATCCTCATCCCTAATGCCAACCCTGACCCTACTGCCAACCCTCCACCACTTAAGGTTAATCCTAGCCCTAGCCCTAGCCCTAGCCCTAACCCTAGCCCTAGCCCTAGCCCTAGCCCTAACCCTAACCCTAACCCTAACCCTAATGCTATCCCTACACCCCTTATGCCTAACCCTAGCCCCAACCCTAGCCCCTGCAGAGGAACCTTATCCCTAATGCCAACCTGACCCTAATGCCAACCCTCCACCACTTAAGGCTAATCCTAGGACAAAATAATATATTTTGTTTATTTCTTACATACTATACCTTTTTTCAATTTCAATGGCACATAATATTCAAAAATTGATTAAGATACATTTTACTCTTTCTTACCCCAGGGTTATAATATACATTCCCCTTTTGGATGTTTTGTTCTTATAAATCTTTTTATATTTCATATTACAGGAAAATCAACCATCATTGAATATGAATAACCTGAAATTAAAAGAAATATTTGTCAGCTTCCTCTCAAATGACCACTGCAAAGAGGTAATTAGCATTTAAAAAAAAAAAAAAATTTTAAGTCCCAACAAATATTCATTTTCCTTGAAGTGCTTAAATATACAGGGAATTTAAGTAGAAACAAGACTGATTTTCCTTTGTCTATGTAAACCGTATAATTCTAGACCAACAAATTCAGGGTTAATACGTTATCGATAAAAATAAGGACAAATTAGGAGTCGCGACATCTCGAAATCACTTAAGTATCTCTTGTTAAGTCACGACATAATTTTTTGACTTACTGAGTATTGCGAACAAGTACAATTATGCTAAATTTTGTGAATTCATAACATAATCTACTTAATGCAATTATTACAGTGCAAAATGTTTAAAAATGTTTATACTACATTTTTCACTTTCAAAACCCAGGGTTATGCATATACTTTTTTCTTGTATTTCTAAAAAATACAGTTAATTAAAGTAAAATCAGGGTTTTTTTCTTCATCTAAGTTAACCGTTCAAATATAAAGTGGTATAATTTAGTTTTATAGGTATTCGACAAAACATATGGCAAAAATGATGTCGCGAAATGTCAAAAACACTTAATGCATTAATTTTTTGTTGCGTCTTGATATTTTGACAAACTTAATGTTGCAAACAATTTAAAGCATGTTATATTTTAAAAATACAAATAGAAACATGTTATTTCCTGTTCTGTCTACACATATTTATTATTTGAGACTCTCAATACTGTGTTATTTTTGAAAAAAATAATTTGATAACCCAATTATTTGAATATTAAGGTCAAAACTTGTTCTTTCCTGTTTAATATTTCATTATAAGAGGAAACCATATCAATAAAAGGTGCACCAGAGCATTAAACGGTGAAAATCTATAAATTTCAATAATTTTTTTTCTAACCCCAGGGTTAGAAAGTGTAAAATGTAACATAAACTTTGAGGTCATATATCAGATTTATTTCTAGTAAAAATCAATAATTTTTACCCTAAAACAATATAAAAATATTTATTTATAACTTTTAAATACTTAAATGATTTTAATTTAGGGATTAAAAACATAAAAATATTTGGTAAATAATTGTGTAAAATGTAACATAAGTGAGTACTATCTCAGCTAATAATAAAAATAGAAAGCTGAAACCCAGAGGGTTAGAAATCTTAAAACAGAGTAAATTCGGGTTGAAATAATCAATAAAATCAAAGTGATCGATTTTTAACCCTCGTATATACTTATGTTACAATTACACAAGTTATGTTACAATTTACACAAGTTACGTTACAATTTACACTTTTGAAAGGATATGTTACAAAAAGTGAAAATTTATGTTACATTTTACACCAAGACGAGAGCCCTAACCCTAACCCTACTAACCCTAGCCCTAGCCCTAACCCTAGCCCTAACCCTAACCCTACTAACCCTAATCCCCTAACCCTAACCCTAACCCTCGCCCCTAACCCTAACCTACTAACCCTAACCCTAACCCTAACCCAAACCCTAACCCTAACCCAAACCCTAACCCTAAACCTAACCCTAACCCTAACCCTACTAACCCTAACCCTAACCCTAACCCTAACCCTAGGGGGGCTAGGTGGGTCAGTACATAGCCCTAAATATGGTGTTTACACTGTGTTTACATTGGTACGTTGGTACTACGTTTTGTTTATGCTAACTATACAGGTAAATACTTTGGGGCCGTGTGCAAAACATTTCAAGAATGTCATTATGACGTCACACTTTTCATTCACAGTCTAGACAGTCTAGCCTAACCTAACCAGGTTCAAACTGGATTTTTTTTTACTGAAAACAATAACAACCTGGATTTTTTACTGAAAACAATAACAAAAATAACACACATGGTTTATATACCTTTACTGTAAGGGCCCTGTGCATCAATACGTTTTACCTGCGTTTTTATACCTGTTGCATCATCTGTAAGCACCGTGTGCAAAAAATTAGGGTCGTGTGCAAAAATATGTTGGACTTACCTTTTGATCTTACTGTGTACGTCTTTGTACACTATCTAGTCAGCGAACTTACCTATGCATTATGACGTCATCCACTTGTAAAATTAAGGTTTCATTTTCACTTTTGTTTCTAAGAAGTGAACTTAGATTTTCAGAAAATGTAGGACTATCTTTCGTTTTTCCTCTCTTTTACTATGATGATTTTCCTGCTGTGAAGCTTTTCTTGTATAAAGCTCAATTTCTCTCTGACCACGGAAGTAAACATCCTGATGCATTCTTGTCATGTGAATGTTGAGAGCGTGTTCATTTTTGAAATCTCCTTTCTGACAGACCTATTCCACAGGTAAGTTTGTCTTATTTTTGTTTACATTTCCTATGAAGGTCATCTTTGTATTTAACTATGATTTATATGTAAAGTTCTATTTTAAATGTAAATGCTGTATCTATCCTCATTTCATGGATTTACAGTTGTATAACCAGTGCATGTAACTCAGAGTGCATTTAATATTTCTATGATGGGTCATTCTATAATTGAATTTAAATCAGAACGATGTTCACTAAATGTTGGTAAAATACTTGGTATCTTTTACATTTCTGTCCCTTTTGTCTTTAAATTATTGCTTTACTTACATTGTAAAATGAGGTTAATTTGTGTATCACTGAATTGTATGATTTTTTCAGGATCAGCTGAGATGTTATTTCACTGGATTATTTAATGGATAGGCTTATTGGGCATATATTTGGATATCTCTGGTAAGTTTTTCTTGTTTTTTAATTTTTACATTTCCTATGAAGGTCATCTTTGCATTTAAGCATGATTATATGGTTAATTTAATTACTGTGTAATACTTATGTGATCTGTTGTCTCTAACTTACATTCATATAACCACACCCTTATTTAGGGTCGTGTGCAAAAATATACCTTTTACCTGCGTTTTCTTATATACCTGTTTGCATCATCTGTAAAGGACCGTGTGCAAAAAAATTAGGGTCGTGTGCAAAAAATAAGTTGGACTTACCTATGCATTGTGACGTCATCCACTGTATAAATGCAATGTGATTATGACGTCACGTTTTCATTCACAGTCAAAGCCTAGCCAGTTCAAACAGCGAGCTTACCTATGCATTGTGACGTCATAAACTTGGCAGTGACGTCATGTTAGTCCTTCACAGCCTCGGTGGCTGCTTATTTTGACTTGCATTTAAGCATGATTATTTGGTTTAATTTAATTACTGTGTAATACTTATGTGATCTGATATCTCTAACTTACATTCATATAAACACACCCTTATATCACCTAAAATCTATCACGGGATCTACAGAATCTTAATAAGTCCTATTGTATAAATTATATGACATAATTTCATAATTCATTATGTATGTTACCCATGGCCATGGAATTCAGACTTACTAAATGGTGATCAAAGAGATATTAGGATTGTTATAACAGAAAAGTAAAAATCTACAAAAGATTAATCATAATAGCCATTTACTTTTTGTTTTGATTCTAAATATGTGTGATATATGGCATACATATATTTTCATTTTCACTTTTGTTTCTTAGTAATGAGCTTTTCAAAAAATGAAGGACTACATGTTGTACTGTGATGATGCTAAAAAAAATGTATTTTTCTGTATGCAGTACTGACAGGTATTAAACAAAATTGAATCTGCTGTTAATAAAAAGTCTTCTAGTGTCTAAATAATTAATCTGATAATCATTTTATTTGTGATATTAATACAGTAGTTGTGCTTGTTTATTATCTATAGATAACATGATGAACTTTTCTCATCTGGAGTTAATGTTAAAAACAATTTTTCGAGATTAAAAACAAATATTTTCATGATCCTTTTTTTTGGCATTGTACATGTTTGTTCAGGTTTTAAACATGCATTGTTTAATGCAGTACTCTGTCATATTAACAAAATGGTTTTATTTTTACAGTCATCAACATGGAAGATAAGTTTTGTTCCTAACCATCTATAATCAATTCTCTATGAAGTTCAGACTGTCTGCCCTTCCTTTGGAAATACACAGTTAGTCAACCAACATAGAAACACACAAACTTGAAGGTAAAGTTGCAATGAGATACAATTGTAATTTTTATTTATTTATTTATTTATTTACATATGCATTTTTATATTTTTGAATTGATAAGTAAATGATATATGATTTTTTAAATAAAGAGGGCTTGGTGGTCATGGTCATGTTTAAACTATTTTGATATCCTTTAGAAGAAGAAGAAAAAGGCATAAAAATTCATGATCAAATTTTTAAAACTAAAAAGTATGAAATTTTTCTTTGCCAAATGATAGTTAACAGATGAAGATAGCATATTTATAGAATAAGTTAAATATGGCTAATTTGTTAACCCCCAGCTTCCTTAAATGCATAGTTGGTAAAGATAGGAAGTTTTGACTTGAATTGTTGATGAATTCTGAATTTTCCATTTAATATTAACATTATATCAAAGGGAAAGAATACTATAATGTGGCTCATTAGGATGACCAGAAAAGAAATCTTAATGACCCTCTTGACTATATATAAAGATTTTAACCTTATAACTGATGTAAGATGATCTGATTGTGTGGAAATAAAATTTCCTGGTGTTTCTACTACCCAAGATCTTCTTATGAGTGTATGGGACTGCTGTAAACCTTCTGTTTATAAAAATAATACCTTGGAGCATGACACTTTATTCATAAAAGGTACTTTCAATATCATTTCTATGAGTTTGTGTTCTTTCTTTTTAATAATCTAGTGTCATATCTCCTTTAACCTCATTAATATGTATGCTTCCAAAATCTTAGATCTGTCTGTATAGTTTCTTCAGCTCTTTAAACACAAATACCCTGATTCAATCTTTTGAGGTAAACATCATAGAGACATCATAGATGGTTATCAGAGTGTATATATCACAATCTTGACCATAAGGTCAATTTAAATGGTCAAAGGCACAACAAATGAAAGTGAAAACTTTTCTTTTTTTTAATCAGAATACATAATTTTGTAATAAACAAACACTGGAAAGTTACTCTCATAATGAGCCTTAATGTCTTCCAAGAGTTCAGTTTGGACTTCCTCCATTAATCCTTGTATCTTGTAATCCTTGTATCTCCAATGGTTTTGTGGGCTAAAAATCATGTGTCTTTAACAATCTTTTTTTTCTGACAACTGTTTTCTCTTATCATCTATAAACTTGACTTCTTCTCTAGTCAAAGGTCTTTCCGTGTAATCCAAGTAATTCTCACCCTCTTTTGGTAATAAATGGTTATATTCTTAATTGGCTTCTTTTGAAATCAATGGTCTTTCTATGTAATCTCTGACGACATTAGGATCACCCTTTTCTGGACATAATTGGTTATATTCTTCTTGAGAAATGATCTCAATAGTGCCATCTTTTTTTATTTTAACTGGTATACCTCTGTCTACATCTTTCTCTGAAAGAATTCTCTCTCCAAACTGAATTTTACTCATTCCTTTAGTCTTTTCTTTACTAGAGGTGTTACCCATGGTTAATATGAAAAGTCAAAATCTTATGTTAACAACTTGTATTTATACCCTTTTTTGTCTATATTTAGAATTCCATCAAGCTTATATTACATTACATTTTTTTTTTCAACTAAGACATTTTTTTATTTTTCAGGATTCTCTAGTGAGGGCTTATGGAAATGATCTATGTCTACTCTTAGAATGGTAAAAGACTATCAGATTATGCAAAGACTAACAGAATATCCTCTCTTGGAACACTGAAACAAGAAAACCAAACTTAAGAGGATGGTGGATTTAAGAAGAACATAGATAAATATGATTTCCAACGAATTTAACCAGTACGATCATAGACTGTGGTTAACAGGATGACAAAGAAAGGACCCAGGATTGTATCTTTCACTGTCAGACACTGACTATGGATAAAGTGTAATCATTGAGATCTAGTATAAGCAAAATGCCTCAAAGCCCAAAACACCTGCAAATAGATGACGACGAATTTGTCAACAATTTTTTTTGTACCATTTGATGTACCTTAGGTTTACAGTACATTGTTTTTCAAATTTACAAACGATATGAATTTCTTGCAATCTTAAATTTATACAATATACGGAAGTTCCATGATGTCTGTTTTTCGAAATGCTTAAGTAAGAACAAAGACACCGGTGGATAATTGGGCAGTTTCCTACATTTTTCCTACAATAAGAACGTGTTAGCCATTGTCAGAGAGAGTCTGAAATGGTTTCCAGCAAACCGTGACGTTGAAATTGATGAAAAACGGAGTCAGGTTAAGATTGAGTAATTCGTCCTGCCACCTGTTTAATCGCCACCTTACTACCAAAACAGCTATTAATACAGTAGACTATCATAATCATTTCATACACTCTAAATCTGAAATAAAACCGTTTTGATTTTTAAGCCGTTCAACTTGACGGTTTCTTAACAGGCTGATAACATTGTACGCACAGCTATCAACATTGGCTAAGACGAAAAACACAAATAAATAAACTCCTTGCAGTGAAACTAGTGTCACCCGAATAACGAGATAATTTTTTTGCGTTGGCTCGCTTAGCGAGCTACTCCTTGTTGACGCAGCCTTTTCAGAACTGTAAAATTTATCACACATTCATCAAGGTTATCCATACGCCAAATATGATAGTTCTAGCAAAATGCTTTTGTTTTAGTAATTGTGTAAACTTAGTAGGTAAAAACTGTTTAAAAATTACATACTGTTACATTATTTATGTCTTGATGCAAGTGTACTTGAAAAATCTATTTTTAGAATCCAGATTTGCTGTGGGAATCTTTAAATTAGTTATTCCATAACACTGACCACTGCAGCTAGTATGCTTAAATTCATAATAGAATCTAGGTTTGCAGTGCTGCTTTTCACAATATGTACGGAAACCCATTAGTTTCAACCGATATATATAAAAGAAATGCAATATATATATACACTTTATTATTGAAGCGAACATGGAGACAAATAATATTCAATCTCTTAAGATACAAAATAAACTGAAAGGTATGGTGTCCAGATGTATGAAAAAGCTCAATGAACTCGAGCGAGTCAATTTGCAGGCCATTCAGGCCTTTGATTGAGATAACTACAGATGTAACGTGACATGTGGATAAAACAAACAGTATTTGAAGTCATAAGTGCATTAAACATAACAAAACCTATGTGATTGTTAGGCAATTATTCACGCACTGGATTGTGATGTTTCCATTCTTTCCCGAACATTACACTGAGAACACGGCAGGCGTGACTGGTTGATAAGGGATGCTCGCTCCTCTATTGAACCTGATCCAACCTCGGATATATAGGAGATACGCATTTGCTTTGTTTCTATTTTGTTAACTCGTGAAACTTTTTACAAGATAATATACTACATTATGTTGTTGAAACGAGCCATACATGCACTAACTCTTTGAAAATTATTATTATATGCTACAAGCTCGTAATAAAACCAATGTAGGAAATTCATTTTGATGGATTAATTATTTCATTATTTAAGGAGGCTGGGGGTCAACAAATTAAGACTATTTTGATCTCTTTTAAAAGAAGAGCTCCAGATAAAGATATACAAAAATGATCAAATTTTAAAACTGAAATGAATGAAATATTTCTTTGCCATATGATAGTTGACAGCCAAAGATGTCGTATCTTAAAAAAATAAGTTAAATCTGGTGGTTAATTTATTGACCCCCAGCCCTCTTAACTTATTTTTTAGATATGGTACCTCAAGCTTTCAACTATCATTTGGCAAAGAAAAAATTCATACATTTTAGTTTTAAAATTTGATCATTTTTGTATATCTTTATATGGAGCTTTTCTTTTAAAGGAGATCGAAATAGTCTGAAAATGGCTACCACCCCAAGCCTCTTTAAGAAATAAATAATAGCTACCTAGATGATATACTGAATAACCTGGATTGGGACATTTTACGCTTTATAAACAGCAAAGGAGTTATTAAAACAAGCGTTAAATGTTACAACCTAGTTACTGTAGACATCTTTAATTTCAGGTGTCTAAAATTTCATGGTTTGCTAGAAAGCTACCTACATGTTTCACGGTGGTTTTAATTTCATGGTGAATCGCTTATAAATATTCAGGTGCTATGACTGTTTCTAGGTAGAAATGACGTGAAATAATATCACGATGGTTTAAAGTTCGCGGAAAATTCTTAAATCGTGAACATAGTGAAATTAAAAACACCGTAATGTTTTCCACTTCTACAGTATATACTAGTACATGTATAACTTAGGCATTCGTTATTAATTCTCCGTCATTAAGTGACAACAATAGGACACTTTCAAAAAGTTTTTTTTTTAAAGTAAAGTCAAGCAGAATAATACATTTTGGGATGTAGGCAACATATGTTATCCTAATAAGTTATAAAAATTTCTTTTATCCAATCAACTAACTACGTTACAACAGTAATTAAATTTTTACGAGATAACTAGCTAACTTTCGATAAAGTAAAACTAACAAGTCTAGTTATACATGTAACTAGTTATTTACTTTAATAATTAAATAATCATTTAAGTATACCATGTTTAATGAGAAAAAGAAATATAATGTTTATTTGTCGATGTAGCTAAATAGACTTCTAAATAATTTTTCACTCATATGAAGACGCAACCATTTGCCGATGGAGTGCTGCAAATTATGACCTATAGCAATAGCAATTCCATTATATACAATCAGACGATCTTTTAAAAACTTCAATCAGTATGGGCTAAAATATCTTTCAATGCTTCGTTGCTGAGGACAATTTGCTGATGTCATGGAAAAGTATGATAGCATATTGTAAAATAGTTTTTGGTATAAAACGAAGTTCTATTTATGAGAGATCATATGAAATACATTAAATTCATAAGAGAAACTACTGTTGGACGTTGATACCGGTCCTTCGGATAAGACCGTAAAAACTGAGATCATATGTCACAGTGGATGCTTCTACGAGAGAGATCTCTCACTGCCCAATGGCCCTGAGTTCCGAGATTCGCAGATCTCCATCGAAAGGTAGCGGGGTCTTACATCAGAGTGAAAACGTTCTCGAGAGGGACGTTAAAAGCAAGACACAAACAAACAAATTAAATAAAAGATATTTTTTGCATCATATATTTTGTCTTTTCACTTGTGGTAACACACCCGTCATTCGTTAAGTGCAGTAAAAAAAAACAAAACAGTATCGCCGTGATGTTCTAATAATTCTTGTAATATCCTAGGGAAATCTTATGGTTCTATCTTGATCGCAAGAAAACATATTTTGTTAAAGGGATCCACGAATATAGAAATAATTTTAGAATAATAACAAAGACACAATTGCCTTAGAAAAATAAAGTTAATTAAAGAAATATACTGTAATCACGAATTACAGGTAAGCCATGGTTTCTCTTGTCTTTTAATGGACGTAAACCAGGACTGATAATGATATAGATCATCATGTTCTAGAATTGACAAAAGCAAAAACCAAAATACAAATAGCAAATTTGTCTTTTACTGTCATATAAATAAACTGGTGATTTTGAATTCATGCGAAAAAAATCATCGCATTATATATGTACCGGGATCAGAAATACAAAATAATGAAAAAAAGGGTATTTGTCCTTTTTAATATTTTTCTATTAAACGGGGTAGCAAACTAATCTGTCACTTTAAAATGGGGTGAGATAAGGTGATAACACGAGTCCAACCCTTTTGAAGATGTATCTCAATGATCTATCAAATTATCTGTCAAATTTTAAAAGTTTTGTAAATTTAAATAATGATTCAACTACATCCATTCATTGCCTCATGTATGCTGATGACATGGTACTTCTCTGCCCCACTGCTAGAGGTCTACAAGAAAAACTCATTATACTAAATATTTACCGTATTGACTGATGTCTCAAAGTTAATACAAAGAAATAAAAAAATCAATTCAATTCCACCGGCAAACGCATCAAAATTCCTTTCCATATGGATAACAACAAATTTGAATGTGTTTAACAATGCAAGTATTTGGGTCTTACAGTTAATGCATCTGGAATATTTAGTAATGCTAATAATGATTGTTGTAGCAAAGCCAAAAAAACCTATTTCAAACTTTAAAGAGACTTTCTCACATTCAATCCATTAGATAGAACTGCTTTAAATGTATTTGACTACACTATTAAACCAATTTCCCTGTATGGTTCAGAGTTTTCTCTATCCATCAATCTTCTTTGAAACATTGTACATATCCTAACTTTCGGATCGCGGTTTCTGGAAATCGCGGAATAGATATATCATAGATGTTACCTCTCTTGTCTATATCCGTTTAATCTATACCATAGCTACATGTACATGTAAACGATATTTTCAGCGTTATGTCTTTATTTCACGAACAATAGGGAAATATAAAATTGTTAGATTTAATAAATAATTAATTAACACAAGTGCAGTAATTAAAAGTCCTTCACTATAAACGTCAAATGACTTTCCTATATGCTATTACGATGAGTGCATAAGCACCAAAGATCTTCAATACAACGCGGCGAAAAACCACTGGACGGAAATAAATGTGTTTATATAGTAACAGACAAACTAAGAAAGAGGTGTAAACAGATTTAATTATAAAGCAGACAATTACACTAAGGATTGAATCATTAGGATAATATTATATAAATATTTTCAATAACCATTTAAGTTTTAGCTCTTCTGGTCAAAAACCAGAAGAGCTTATGCGATAGAAAGGTATCCGTCATATCTGTTCGTTTGTTTGTCCGCCTTTCTGCTAAGAATTTTTCAAAATGTTACTCATCCTACAGTTTTGGTCTAATTTCAATACAGCTTGACACACGAGTAAACTATATTAAGACGCAAAATCCTTTTTTTTAAAAATCGGTTTTTGATTTCATAGCACGGTGTTGCCATGATTAATAAAAATAAAGATTTTTG